CGGCAAGGAGATTAAATCGACGGCAGGAAAGTGAGAGTGGTCAAGGCTCGTGGCCCCCTTCTTTACCTTCTCCCTCTCGCTTCGTTACAGATCGCCTCGCGATTTCTCTCTCTTTCTCTCTCTCTCTCCTTCCATCCCGTCGTCGGGGAATCGCGGGCTCGGCTTCGTCGGGAACAATGTTTCCACCTTAACGCGAACGGCCTCTCGTAAATTTCCCGGCGAACCTTGTTACGCCTTTGAATCACCGGCAGAAACCCCGTGGTATCGCGTCCCCATCGCCGACACGCTGGAAATCAGATTACTCGTACGTGAGGTCGCGCCCATTTATCGCGGAATTGAGATCCCATTCCGGGGATCTTGGGCGATCGGCGAAAAACGATGCCACGATCCGCGAAAAACGATGCCGCGACCCGAGGAAAATCAGGGATACACTCGTCCTCTTTTGCGCGAGGTCCATTCATTTTATCCGTTTCCTTATCATCTTTTTTAATGTCGCGCCTCGCGAGATCGCGCACTCCGTACACGTGGAGGGCAAGGTAGAGGATTCGGGGACGTAATGCGAAAAACCTCGCACTAGGTCCGTTTATTTTTTTTTTTTCAATTTATTTTCTTAGCGTACCGTAAGACCACGATTTCTATTCCGTATGTGTGGCGGTCAAGGTGGTGCCTTGAAGGGGATGCAAGGAAAATGGAGAAAAATGCAAGCGCGCGGGCCCGACCTCGTTTTCAGGGTCGAAGGATTTACCTCGGTCGGAATTGTTGCGGATTTTATTCACGGGGGAAATTAGGTTATCCGGGGTTCTGCCTCTTTATCGCCGAATTGATTCGCCTCGTGGATTCTGCCCGGCGATTTCCCGTGAACGATGTCGACCTTTGGAAAATCAGGGACGCTTGTGTCACCGCGCGGTTATCCGTTCTTTGTTGCGGGCAAGTCGACTTTTTCACGATAAAAGAGATAAATGCTTATTATTCCACTCTACTTTGATGAAACTGGGCGGCAGCTTCCAAATGCGAAAAAAAAAAAAAAGGAAAAACGTATTTGACATTAAATCCGATCCCTCCGGGTTTACGCCGTAATTTATTTCGCTCGGGAGGAAATTTACACGAATTGCTACAAATTCTATTCATTGTCGAAACGAGGTTATTCGCACGCAAAGCGGAGCCCGTTTAACGCGGAATCGATTCGATTCGAGGCATCTGCTCGGATGATTTGCGGCAAATCATCCTTTGCCGACCTTTGGAAAATCAGGGACGTTTGGGTTACATCGGGCTAAAAATCTGAACCGCCTCGCTTTAATCCGCTAAATCCCTTTTTTTTTTTCTGCGCAATGTCTGCGCGGAAAAGTCAAATTTGCGAACGCGCGGCATCGGCGATCGATTTTTTGACGATACCTCCCGAAGGACGTTCAGATTTGTAGATATCAATTATAAAGTTATGTACACGCTGTATTCTACATGGGACTATTTTTTTTTTTCACTCGGGAATACTAAAAAATCATTGTCATCGCTATTAACGAGAGAATTCGGAGAAGGCACGATCGTGATTTGATTCTTTTTCCCACGAGGTGGAGATTCAATTATCGGACTGAAAAGAGGTAAAATGGGAACCGGATAAGCGAATCTTCAACGCAATCCATCACTGGGATCACTTTAACCGATTATAATTAAATTTATGTGAATGAGTACACACTTTGCACGACCCGGAAATGAGATTTATCGATCTTGCTCATTTATCTGTGGAATTGGTTTAATTCGAGGGATTTGCACGGATGGTTTGCCGGGGACGGTGCCAACCTTTGGAAAATTAGGGGGATTGTTGCGCTCGATGTTAAAGGTTTATTCCCTCTCTTCAACGGTGGGAGTGCGAAGAGAAATGGGAAAGAATTATCGTGTTGGGTTTAAACGTGGGAACTTCGGAATTATTCATTTCGAACGATTTATTTTTCCCTCGGATCGATTGGGCTCCGGAATGTTGCGTAACTCCTTTATAGTGAATGTCTCGTGAAAGAGATCGACAATTTATATTTAATGTTTTCCATTTTTTTCCTTTTTTTTAAATGTCGCGAAACATCTCGACAGCATCGAATTACCAGGAGAATTACTTTCGTCGTTTACTTCAGTGTTGGTTTCTGGAAGAAAGTTCCATCCGTCATGGTCGGCGTACTGTCGTTTCAAAACCTTCGCAATTCGCTTCGTCAGGGTATGGAAGCATTAATATTAATGCCATTCCAAATTGTTTTTAAATCGACCTCGCGATTAGGTTCATAAAACATAGTCCCGATTTGTACGTTCCTTGCGAAATCGAGTTTCATAAAGTGGAAGAAAAAAAGAAAAAGAAAAAAAGAAGAAAAGTTGCGAACCTTGCATCTATCAGCTGCCTATAAAATGTAGCAATTCTTGTTAGGTAACCAAGGATTTATTTAATGATCGGCAAGGAAAAATAATTAACGCGTAATTTCTTGCTATCCGTCTCGCGTCCCGTCAGAATTTCGAGATAAACAATTTACACGTCCTCTTGATAATCTAACGACGGCATAAACGCCGTCACGGTTCTTGTGTTTATCGTTATTACGGCCGCTAAATCAGCGACCTGTGAACATGTCGCACATATTACAAATTGCCGGAATTGACCGCATTCTCCGACAATGGGACACCCGCTATAATGAGTTATAATTCGAAGCCGGCAGTTTATGCGAGGGTTATAAAAATATTTCATAAACGTTCAGGATTTATGTTAATGCCCGAGCTAATGCAGATTTGACGTGACCCGGCAATTACGCCGGCCTTTTTCGCGATTGCCAACTCCCATTTAATTTCCACCGACTTGAATCCAATCGATCATGGACAACGAGGTCGAGTGAAGCTTAATTGAGCTTGGGACATCCAGAACGTCCGGGTTAATCATAAAATTCATCTACAAACTGGAACATGGTTTAATGTCCTACTGTCATACTAACCGCTCTCCGGGGCCCGGAGCGAAATTCGTTTCTTGACTCGCAACTCTCAAAGCAGTTCTCTCCGTTTATTCTCGTGCACCGGGCGAAACGTTGAATTGACACGAAAGCTCCATTTTTGCATCGACAATATATTCGGTAGAATACTTCGTTCCGTAATTTCACGTCTGTAGGTAATAATAAATTAAACAACAGGGCCCTCAGTCTTCCCAGATATACCGAGCATAGATTCAGTCTTCCATCAAATCACCGCTTGAAAACTTCGCGTACGCTCCTGCATTTTCAGTGAAATCACTTCCTCGCAAGACCGGTTGTTTGACAAAAATAGAATGAATTACAAGGCCGCTCGGGCTGAGGCAATTATCGATAAACAAGGCAATTTTCGCGCTAGCGATCATATATTGCCAATTTTTCTTGATACCTCCGACGAACGGCGTCGTCTGCACGTCATAACGCGGCTCATAGAAATGATTGAAAGCAGCAGCGACACGGTCTTGGGAAGCTCGGATCACGTTTCGAGGCCTCATTAATTATGCATCGAACCGTATATCGTAATCGAGCTTACGCCCAGGAGGAAACTCGTCCTTCGACCCATACACGGAAGAGCGTCTCGAATTCTCGAGATGTAACTAAAGCGGCTGAAATTCCCCCGCGTGAATCTCTAACGATCTTACGGTACGTTTACCATCGGTACCTGGGGAGAACAAGAAGCCGCGCACCCACCAATAATGCCGTTCAATTATCCGCACCGAGTCGAGTAGATGCCCAGAGCTCGAATTTATTCCCCGGTCCCGATTTACATACTCCGAGGCGTTCCCGATTTGGCGCATCCTCCGACGTTCCTGCTCTTTTCCGTGTATTGCTCGTCAACGCCGACGATTTTAGCCTCTCAGATTTTACCCTCCCCCTTGCAGCCCCTTCGAATAAATTTCCATGTTCTGGCAATTAAACGTCAAGTAAGGAGACGCTGCTTAATTGAAACCGAAGCGCGCGCGTTTCCGCGTGCCCTCTCGAGCGAGTTACTCCATCTGGCTCGGTGGCTTGCAAATGTTGGAGCACTGGATTTAATGATGGTTTTTAGGCCTGGTCAAGATGCCCCAGGTGTTCCTCCTATTTTTGGACCGACTTTCAAAGGAACTTTAAGGCCGCCGCGTTTGTTCCGATGGCGCTTGCACACTTGTTGCGGTGCTTCGTCGCTTGGCCCTCGGTACCGATTTAGCAGGGTCCGAAATAATTCCCCCGTATTTTTATTTCACTCGAAGGGTCTCTTTTCTGGGCTTGGGTCAAACCTGAGACATTTCCTTTCTGGAATATTTACGCGTCCGATTTAAGACACTATTTTTATTTTCCCCGGATAGCTCACCGACATTTTTTACAGCTACTTGATTATATCGGAGTACTTTAGATCGCGGCTCATTTGCGACCCGGTCGAATTAATATTAATCGGCATCTTCCCCGCGGTCGAGCGCGGCAAACGTTTACTTTGCCTTACTCGTTACATATCCACCGTGTCTAATTTACTAAGCCGCATTCTCCATCCTTCAAATAATTCCCCGGTCCCCCCGACGTGTCCTCGCAGCGTCAACTTTTTTCCCGACTTCCGTTAGCCCGGCAATTTTCCGGAAATTAATTAGAACCACATTTGGCCACTGAACGTTTCTCGCCAGGACGTCGGCTCGTCTACGGTACGAGAAACCTCGATCGCCATCCCATGGCACCCGGTGCGCCGATTTCCCAGGAACACGCGACATGCCTCGCGGAATCGATTTACCCTTCCGCGCGCTTTTTGCGAAATTCACTCCCAGCCTTGGTCTCGGGAGCAAAGCGGATTCGCAGCTGCGAGAGTCGCGACGTGCAATCGACAGGTACCCCCTGCCGGCTCATGGAGCCCTCGCCTCCCTTCCCCCGATTTATATAATAAAAAATGAGCAGAGGGACCAAACCCCGGGCGGAAAAGCAGAAATAGAAAAAAAAGCCCCGAAAAATCCTAAAAATCTGGATAAACCGCCAGGAGAGCTCTCGACTCCTCTCAGGAAATCCACGTACCTGTCTCGGTGCGTCCTTCGGGGTGGAATCTCACCTTCGGGAAACTGCTGTCAAACTGGGTCCGCACTTTCCTCTCGGGAGACACTCTCGGCACCGAATCTCTCCCCGGGGGAGGAACTATCGACGAGACGACTCGTCTCGATGACGAGTCGAGAAAAAGAAACGCTTCCTCGGTGATTGCGGGATTTTCTTTTAGTCGGGGGATTTAATTTATACTGGGCACCTCTCGGCCGATCACTCGACGCGCTCTACTCGGTCTACAGGGAGAGATCCACCCGGCAGATCTCGATCGCTCGATCCATGATCCTCGGCGGAGCGTTCGCGCGCCTCGAAGGATCGAAAGGTTTTGTGTGCACTGCACCGCCGGATTGAGTGAAGGTAATGTAATAGCAAAGTGAAGTAGTAGGTATCTACTTCGCTCCCACCACCGGTTCGCTGCTCGCCATAAGCGTGCGCTCGACCGGGGTATTCGAATCTCGATCCCCACCGCCCTCGATCTGCTCTTTTCGTCCCTTTCCGAAGGCCGATTTCCGCGCACGCGCCCCCCTCCCCCGGCGACCCTCCCCACCCGCCCCGGACCTTCCGCAAAATTTCATTAATACGGCTATCAACGATTACCTTTATACTTTTTAATCCCTCATCGGGATTAATCGGACGACTTTTTCTTCCGCCAATTCGTTTATTATACCCAAATTGATCGCTACACGGCCCGCTGAAATTTTTAATTGAAATTCTGTTAACGCGACCGTAACTTGGTTAATGAGGTGAATATAATGGGCGAGCGTTTTTATGGGTTTTCGGGAAAAATTAACAATGCGGCGAAGCGCGGACTGTGGGAAAATTGGACGGGGAGTGGAAATGTTGATGCGCGGTTCCTTTTCGAAATTGTATATTTCGGACGAATCATCCGAAATTCATTTTTATCTCCTCCTTGGTGCAGGGTAGTGGTGTGGGGAATTGTGACAAATTTGGTACTCGCGGTTTTGTGGATTTAAAAAATTTCTTTTCCGGGAAATTAGATTACGGAAAACTTGCGAGAGTAACGTTTGAGCTTGTTCGTCTGGAAAATCGACTCCTGGTATTAGCAAGGTAACTTTTCGAAGCCGCAGTTTACCGTGGGCTTATTCCGTATTTTCGGACTTTTTTAGCAGGATGGGAGAGTTCCGGGATCCCGGAATTCGGTCGAAGCTCGCGTTTGCAATATGCGAGGAACTGTTTTTTGGGAAAAAAAAAAGAGGTACCCATGCGCGAATGGTAGTTATGGTTCTCACTTTTAACGAGACTCGGCACGCCTCTGTACTGTAAAATTTGCTATAATCAAAAGTGACGTTCAATTGCAACTTGCAATTCGAAAATTCGCAAGAAGTGACATAGTTTTTTTTTATTTAGAAATAAATCGCAGATTATTGCGAGTTAGACATTATGCGACGGTTATCGTTGTACAACGACTGTGATAAATGACATTGAGCGACCGTAGATTTTCTCACGGTTTTTCCCGTTCGGCAACGATTCTTAAACGATTGCAGATACCGACCTCCACCCGGTATCGTGCCTTCTCTCGAGAATAAATACCCGCAAGTGATTTTCCTTGAGAGCTTTGCATCGGGAATGTCTTACATGCCTGAAGAAATTAGAGCACATGTACGGCCATTTCTCATTGCCTAAGGTCGGAATAAATAGACGTCAAAATGCAACGCCGATACGAGGACCGATCTCCAGAAGACGCTTAACGATACCGCAAGATCTAATTTAATAAAGCAGCACTTTCTACAATTTTTTTTTCTCCCTCCACCGGCGCCCTTAAGTGCTCCGAGATACCGACGTCCGTATTGTATCACTCGCTTCCCCTGGAATAAAAAATCGTATAAAAATCCCATCCCAGGAATCCGAGCGGCGACTTTCGATCATTGCACGGAATCGAAGAGACAGGATACCCGTTTAGTTGCATTCCCCGCGAAAAATGACGTTTACTCGCATTATCGGCGCGTTAATTTGCATATTCCTCGCAGTCACCGGGCGTAGCTGCACCTTCGCGATACCGCGAGGAGATATCGCGCGGAATCACCGCGGATCTCCATTTTACGTTTCCAGTAAATCCATGGGACGACATGCAGCTAACGCTCATTGCTACCGGCGCAACTGTTACTCCACCATAAGCGATGCACTGAATTTCGCCGGTGTACTCTTACAAGCCTTCGTGAGGAGAATACGAAGCCCCGGGTACAGAGGGGGTACGTCTTTCCACGACATTACTGTCGTCGAAAGTACATCGCGATTCCTTACGGCTCGCTCGAGAAATGTCTTTATCATAACTGGGACAACGTACGGCTATCGCGGATTTGCATCGCCGTCACGTACGAATATAACACGCGTGCTATATTAAACGCGGTTACTTAACGAAGAAAGTGACGGCACGTACATTCATCCATGTCCGGACTTTCTAGCCAGGTCGTATCCTAATCGAGTAATGGACCTTAAGTATAATTGTCCCGAAGCCCTCTCGGGCGTTAGCACGAGACCGCTCAGCCTGAAAAATAGCAGCCAACGCGGGTTAATTTCTCCTCGGTGACAAAGAATTGGGAAAGTGGAGGAGAGTTTCTTTCGCGACCTTTCTCAGATCCCGTGACTAATTTCTTCCGGTCGCGATCGAGATTTCCGCCCGGTTTCCTGATGGCCACCTTTCTTTTTCCCCGAGAACGATAATTAAAGGACCATGGCGAAGAGAGGTGAAAATAAACACCATTGGCTGGGACGATCGTTACCCACGTTTTTGTTAGAAATTAAAATGGACGAGGATTTCTCCCGTGGATCTTTGTCGATCAACGGGGATCGACATGTCCGTGGAACCTCGGGGTAATTTTTTTATGGGGAAGGAACCGATCGGAAAGCGTCGCGGACGGAATGGCGAGCTCCCATGACGTCTAAATAAAGGATTGACATGTCAACCGACGAAGTAGGGCGTCTCGATTTAGAGTTACCTCTTAGTAATGCAGTTAAACGAGGGAACGGGGGGGATATCGCGATGCATTGTTCATTGTTCGGGGACTACCGGATCGTATGCTCATTTTTAGAGAGAGAGGGGGAGCTGGAAAAAGATGGAGGTATGTGATTATTACATGCTCCGAGAGACACGGGAGGAAGTGGCGTTAAAAGTTACGGTAAGTCCCCCCTGGCTCAATGATAAAGGAATACGCAAGGAATTCTTCCTGCCGGGGGAATTCCCTCGTTAATTGACAAGGAAACAGGGGGAAATTAGTGTTAGTTATAATGACGAAAGTTTGACCGGAACTAACGAGGTTTCCATTGGAGCTAAATAATTTGTTTAGCCAGAACTCGGATCTCGGCTGGATCGTGCTCTTACAAGGTAGAACTTCGGGAATTCAATCCACATTGGAAATGTCATTGGAATTCTTCCTACCACCCTCGCTCTGTAGACGGTAATTCTAACTAATTTTTTTTTTTGCAACCCCTGTCAATTATTTTATGCAGAGGAGGAACGAATAGATAAGTCGAGTTAATGGATAGGTACAAGGAGGGCCTATGCCGATGGCATGCCTCCGCAAACAAACCGCATTGCTTTTCCGCGATTGTCCGCGGTGCGCACTCGCGTCTTATTATACTCGGGGCTAATTTGACTGTGGGAAATGGGGGTTTAGTCCTTTCGCGGTCGCAGGAGTCGGGGAAAACGTTGGAAAGGATAGATCCGGGGAGATTGCTTCCGCGGCGTTTAACGAGCGGTTTCTGCTATGCCGAGCGATCGGCTCTTTGATTAATTTCCAGCCCTCCCCACGTGGACGGGTCCGTTTTTCCTCCCGCCTGATTTCCGGGTTTTATTCCGCAAATCCTGCAGCAAATGAGATATATTGTACCGATTGCCAAGACCGATCGCGGCTGTCACTGAAGATCTGCCAAAGGCCGGGCTCGGGAAATAAAACCGAGACGTGCCAAGAGTATTTACATTCGATCTTGCCAAACAGAGGCGGGCGCTTGTTTCCTTCAATTTTTATAGGCATCCTTCTCCCTAGCCCCCCGAATCGTGCCTGCCCGAAACCGCTCGTTTTTATCCGAACAATGTGTCGAGATTTTTTCCCCACTCTTTATCTGCCGGAAAATAAAATATAAGTAAATAAGAAAATATCACAAAATGGCCCCACGTGTCGGGCAACGGCGTCGCTCGTCGTTTCTCTCCTTCTTTGGAGGATCCGCATTTTCCGCGGCTCCCCGATGATTTCCCGGCAAACGCGCATCATTCGACACCGTTTCCGCTTATCACTTAATACACCGGATATCGCGATATTTCCGTAACAGCGTCGCCGGCAATGACGCGCGCACCTCTCTCTTGTTTATTATTCATCATGTATCATATACCACCTCCCGTATAATTCGAGGAGATATCGGCCCATGATTGAAATTTTTCAATTTCCCTGGTCCGCTTGACACGCATCGAGGTAATCGGTTCGCGGTGATGCGTATCCGATAACCCTGAATTACCCCGAAATTCCCGGCAGTCGATTACATGCCCGCCGAGCTCGTCTTCGCCGTCGACATTATTAGTCAATATTTCAGGCCGAACTTATGCGCGATTCCGGTTATTCGTTACTGGTAAGTGTCGGCAGATCCTATAATAAATCGGCGTCGATATATCTCGGGGTCGGATCGCGTTTAGTCGCTGATAAGTGATAGGCAAGCGGCGGATGCGGATGCCCTCGATCTCATCTCGCGGATCCCGCGAATCGGCGGATCGTTCCGACGACTTAACAACTCTCTTTACCTCCTGCTCGTTTCGATATTACGCTAACGGCTATTCAAAGCTTTGAGGAATCACCCCCGTACCGGAAGTGATTGCAAATCGGCCGATTGTGTCGATCGTTTGCACGCACCGCCCTTCGCGAGGTCGGCTCTTGTGTTCTCGTCCGACAGCCGAGGATGACTTTTCTCCCGAGATCCCATTATCGAAGACTCCCCCGGGTTCTGATTTCTATTCGACGAATCCACGGGCCGATCCCATTCAATTGCTCGCCATGAAATGCGAGTGTAAAGGGAATGAAATCCGACGACGTTTGACGCTAGACGTCGCGAACGGCTGCTGGGAAAAAACCCCGGCTAATTGGCTTGGATCTTTATACCGGGTAATGGCGCGATTTTCTAATAAAAGGGACTCGAAATGTTGACAGGAGACGTCGTTTTATAATACCGGTACCCTAAAACGAGAAACTCGCCACGTGACGCCGAATTAAATCCAGGGTAAAATCCAGGGCGACCTTTGGGTAATTTTTTTTATAAATAAAAACATTGGATCTTGCCGAACAATTCTCCAGATCACCCCGGACTAAACTCTATGAGCTTAATCTTGCGGAAAAATTAGTGGAGAATCGTGTCACCGTTACGGGTTAGTGCCGCAGATCTGTACCGTTACTATAAATGTGCTAGCACAATTAATGTTTCACTTGCACCGGCCACATTTTCCGCGCCGAGGCGCGCACTTTTCAGCGGAATAGCGCAAGAACGATTTCGTTGTTAACGTAGCGTAGTAGAATAAAGTGGCC